TTAATTGTACGTGTCTTTATTGTATTTTAAATGCTGTAAGCCACCCAGAGACCTTTGGGTAGTGTGGGCGACATATAAATTAATTAAATAAATAAATAAAATAACTAATCCCCATTAAAATAAAACACACTACTAAGCTGAGCTAAGATGGGGTAGCCCCACTGCCTTCTTTCTCTTTACTCACATTCTCTCTCCTTCAAGCCACATGCTCAGACTTTTCTCTCCCATCATCATGGAATCAAACCTCTCCCACATAACCCATCATCCATTTTCTACATCCTCTGACTTCTCCCTTCTTCTTTATACTTCATGGCTGTTAACCAATTAGCCTCAAGGGGCTGTAACGCCTTCCTCCATCCTCAATTCCCATGAAAATCCAGGTGTTTTATCCCTTCTCCAATTAGCTTGGAATGTTGAGTCTTCCACGGGCTTCTTTGTCTGACCTTCAGCTTTATCTCGAACCACGTTGTACACTCTCATAGCACTTAGAAAAACACATTCCAATATATCTCAAATCATCTTAACAAAGAAACTGTTTGGATCCATCTCACATTTCTCTGACTACATATCCCACACTGCTTCAACTCCATCCATCACACACACTATTCCCTTTTGCTAACAAAAGCCTTGAATGAGTTATAGTACCTTTGGTGTGCAGAAAGCAAACCTAAATCTGCATGTTCCTGCACACCTCTCTCACACACACAGACACCCACACACACATATACACACATATAAGCCTGGATCTTATGTCACCCTTCTGCCATCAAAAGGCATTCTTATCCAGTGAAAGGACAAAAAGTCTCATGGCATGTTATCAAGTAAGACATTTTATTTGGACTAAGAGTTTCATGGACTGCAGCCCAGTTCCTCAGATGCAGTTCATTAGAAGTCCACCAAGTTTCATGCCAAATAAAATGTGTTTCACATGCCAAATAAAATATGTCAACAGACTGTTGTTCTTGCTACAGCAGGTTCACATACTACCCCACCCCTGGAAATTGTCCACTGAACACTCCTGATAGAAGATGCAGATAATATATATATTGCCAAGTCCTCTTCCCCCCTCCAGATCCCAGTTCCACCTCCAATGCTATTGTAGAGAATCCTCCAAGTCTTCAGCATGGATTTGGGCAAAGGAGGGGTATGGGAATTGCAGGACAATGGGGGCATTATAAGACATTGTTTCCCCCCCCCTTTCCGCCAACACCAGAAGTGTCCTGTAAGGGAGGTTCCTCTGATGGGGGAATTTAGGCTCCAAGATTAGAATAAGATAGTTCTTCCTAAATGAAGTCGAAAGAAAAGTAAACTAAAAACCAATGATGTATAGGTTAGAATATATAAATGTTACACAACTCAGCATGAATGAGGTGTATTATTTGCATGGTAGTGGTAGAATATACCAGATGGGTGGGATAGAAATAAATAAATAAATAAATAAATAAATAAATAAATAAAGAAAGAAAGAAAGAAAGAAAGAAAGAAAGCTAATATGTGTAACTAATCTGATTCTGTCTAGTATCAGCCAATAGATGCTTAGAGGGTTAACTGTCAGATATAAGAAAAATGTCAGTTAATATGAAGCTTGTCTATTAATAGGACTGTTGATATGCTAGTGTTCAGCTAGGTCTGCTTGCTGCGAGCTGTCTGCTGTTAGTATGTGACTAAAGAAGTTGTTAGGACTGTCTGATAAGTGTCTGTTATGAACAGGACATCTGTTAAGCACAAACAAAATCTATACCACATCAAATGTTCAGGTCCTGTTACTTTATTCTTTGGCATGTTTTTAAGTAAATGTTCTTACTGTTTGCTATGACTGATTATTCTTTTATCTGCTGGCACTCACACATATGTATCAAAGGAGAATATTATTCATGATCTGTGTGGTTTTTTAATACTCATGCTTAATTGGCCGTGTGCAAACGCTGAAAAATTTCAACGGTATAATGTTTGCCTCACAGCGTACAAATATTTTAGTTCCTCCGGGGAAATCGTATCCTGCAATGGCCTAGTCCCTTCTGTGTATGTTTTTGCATCTGTCCCAGTTCCACAGCTCTTATTCCCTGTGAAACAGCGTATTTCGATTCCACAAGGGAAGGAAAAAAAATGCCTATAGATTGAAAAAAAGTAAGGCAATGACATCTGCTGTTCTGTTCCACTGAGCTTTTTGTCCTGGCATGAAGACAAGGAGGAAGAGATGGGAGACAGCTCCACTCCCATCAATCCTATAATATGCAAACTAATTTGCTCTCCTGTGATACATACTTCAGATATTTCCATTATCTATAGAACTCGATTCTTCTCAGATTTTACTTTTCAAATTATGGTAAACCACTTCTGCAGACTTTTTACTTAGAAAAACCTTGAAAAGGATTGCCATAAGTCAGAACTGACTTGACAGCTTGCATCTGTAACTATGATACTAATAGTTATTAAAAGAAGAGTGGCAAAGGAATCTGTTTTTAGTCAAAGGACTGAATATTTAGTTTCAGCAAAGTACAAAGGGATGAGACCAAAATATTTGCATATTTTACCTTAATGCTCTTAGTTCTCCAACACTAAGAGAGAAGAAACATTAATTGTCAAAAACTGGGGCAGAAGATAGGAGATATTTCAAACCTTTATAATGAAAAAGAAGCATATGTAGAAAAGTGAAGGAACCACCGAAGGGTGATTTAATGGGGAAGGGGTGTGGCCATGTGGGGAACTCTAGAGGGCCAGAATGAAATTCCAAGCAAGCTGAATTTGGATCCCAAGGATCTAATGTTTTCTATTCCTCCGTTAGATAAACATAACCTTGTCAGCTTGTCAATAATCTGGCTCTCTTTATGATGTTATGGCTGGATGTTAAAGACTTTAATGAAAACTGAAAATTCATTACTTTTTAGTTGGAAAGTACAAATTCTACACTAGTCACATAACCCAGGTATTCAACATTCAGTCATGGTAAGCAGTGATTTTATTAAGGTCAAAAATATGGATTTGGATGCAATTACACAGTCTCCTGCCATTTCCTCCATAAAATCAGTATGTCTCCATTAAACCGGCTTAGGCGTTTTAACTGCAGTTATCAAGCATACAGTGCTTTTCATTTCTGCAGGGTTAAGAAGAGAAGTTCCTTGGCTATAGTTAGCACTAGAATTGCCCTTATTAAAGCAGTATGGGAAGTAAGATGAGGACACAGAGATTAGATTCCAGACGGAAGAAATAGGAACTTATAGTGACTCAAATATGCAATGAGAAGGGGGGGGGAATTAAGAAGCTGTTGCAAGCTTTAATTCAATGTCTGTATCCAGTAGGACTACAGACAAGGAAGAAGAAAAACTTTTTATCATTCCAATACAGAATTAGTCTTATGGGCCTCATGGAGAAAGCACTCCACCGAACACAATTACATAAAATTAGTTAAAATATCGAAACCACTGCAGTTGCTAGGTGGACCTCAGCACATAAAATAGACCCAATCTACCCTTTATGCCTCATCCCAAGACTTTTCTGAAGCTTAATGTTAAATGCTAAAGATATGCAATAAACAGGAATGAACAGTAAGAATGTAAGAAGACCAGGATTTCTAGATGGTATTCTATTACACAGAAAGGAACAAATGTCACTTTTGCAGCATTCAACACGTCATGTAACTTAGCCCCAGTTTATAAATGAAGTCTTCCATCAAGTCTTCCACAGATGCTACCATCTAACTTCTAACATAGGTGGGGGAAAGTTTGACCCCCAGATGTTTTGATTCCAGCTCATAAAAACTCCACCCTGTACAGCCGAAGGAAAGGAGCGAGGGGAGTTTTACTCCAAAATGTCTATGGGGCTAAATACTTCCTCCCCCACATGTTCCAAGTATTTCCTGCTTTTTGTTAATGAATTCATTCTATATCAAGCAATGAACAAATAACACATTTTTATCCAAACTCTCAAAAGATTTATGTATTTATTTTTCACTCAGTTCTGTAAAAATTTGAAACCATTCCATTTTGGCAGCTCTTATTTAAGACAGCAGAGACTTACTATTGTTCCTGTTTTTAAAACAGTCTTCCTCAGCTTTAGTCTGCTAAAAGACAATAATGTAGGATGGGAAGAGATTTCTATCTATCTCTTAATGCAATTTTTCACTAGCATACATAGGTTAGTTACCTTAGTGAAAGCTCTGTGACATAAGCCACAGAGTTCTACCAAATAGGCCAGGGTGAAGACAGCGTTCTGAATGATGAAGCTCAGCAATTTTGAAAATGGCTCCAAGAGACTCTGGAAGGAAAGAAAAAGGGGTGGATGTTGATACATTTGCATCCTGCAGCAAAAAGAATGGCGCTTGGGTTGTGAAATCATTCATCATAACAAAGCCTTTCAGTCCAAAAAGATTTATTTCTCACTGCCCCTCATGGGTTTTTGTGAGATCCAGAATCAGAGGCAATAAGCCCCTTGTATATCATTTGCTGCATGATATCACATAGAGAGTGTGATTGTACTCATGTCCTGCTGGCAGCCTTCCTATAAGCTACTGGTAGACCACCATGAGAGGAAAATGGTGGATTAGATGGGCTTTTTTGGTTCAATCCAACATGAGTCATTTTCCAGCCTTATGATATATTACTATCTGTGTTATTCTGCGCACTTCCATATGGTTCAAAGAGGCTGATATGAATACCCAACCTGAGAATGTATTGTGAAAACATATATTTCCTTCTACTGAAAAACACTTGTCCAGGAGTTCATGTAAAGTGCTGGCTGTAACTTAGGGATCTCCCAGCCTCTGATTCTAGAGTTCACAATATAGGCATGAGGGCCAGTAAACTCTCTGGTAACCTTACTCACCACCAACACTCTTACATATCTACCATGAGTTTACCTAATGACCTTCAAGAGACGTTCTAATTGGCAGCCATCACTATTTCTTGTGGCAAATGAATCCAAAGCTTCCTTGCATGCTGTATGAAGAAGTACTTCTTTCTATCTATCCTACCCTTTGCCTCAGATTACCATGAAATCACAAAATTTCAGTGACAAAAAAAAACTGTCACCTGTTTTGCTTGGCTAATAATATTTTTACTACTAGTAATGGGGGAAAAGCATTTAGAGAGTTTTTCTGCCTCATTCTCTGACCAACTATCTTGTCTGACTTAAGGAACCCTTTACTTTGACTTAGGGGCAGGAAGAGGGCCTCCCTGTGCCTCTTTCCCTAAAGCAAGAATGTTCCTGCTTCATTTTACCTCAACAGTTCTTTGGCCAAACTTGTGAATGGCAGAATTGGGTTCAAGTTATGGCTGCTGGTGCTGATTATTACTACTTTTTTAAAAAGGAAATCCAACTTCTTAAGAGGATATTAATTCCCACCCACATGGTAAACGTAATCCCTCCCACACATTAATGTAACCTAGATTTAGAGAGCTCACATCCAGCCTGACATCACAATATTTCACAGTTATAAAATTATTCTGGCTAAGAGATGATAGAAACCCATCACAAAATAGCACAAGAAAGGGTTTCTACATCTTGGCGCTTACCCTGGCAGCACTGCTGGTAGGTATCTTGAGCAAACCGATCATTATCCTTAAACCGGAATCTAAAGAACACTGAAAATCCATGGAGAGAAGAGAGATACAGTCTTTTCATAAACTTTTCATTCAACATTTTCAGGTATCATACGTGACAAAAAAAATGACTGTGAGAATGCAACAACTGTTTAGAAAGTCAGAATGCAACATTGGGTGTAGAACCCAGCTTCCTAAAGGTCTGTATGTTTCAGGTTTGTTTAAGTGCAAGTTTCAGGACCAGATGAGTAGAAAATGTTTGAAAGTATGCAAACAATGACTTACAAAACATCAGATGACACAGCAGAATCAGCAGGCCTAGCTCCATGTACAAGAGGTGGGAGGCTGGACAAGCTGCCTTCTAGAAGCACTATGGTGACAACAGTACACCACTTACTAGAAGGGGGACAGACTGTCAATGTTGAGTGGAAGCTGCAGGAATTTGTGGTATTTGTGTTAGCAGAGTGCAACAAACTAGTAAGGAGAGCTTATGAGTGTGAATTACCAGCAAGCATACCCATGGCAAGAAAACAAGGGAGAAAATACTTTTTTACTTTTCCAAAAATATCCGTTCAGGGTGAAATAGCATAAAAGCTAGACTTGAGCACAGAAGCCACTATAACCATCTTCCATTAATACAGCTATGTTAATCCCGACATGAAGCTCTTCCCACATGTTGGCCCTCCACTGGAAATGAAGGTCTACAAAGTAAACAAGCTATTTCCTTGAAGGAGAGAGACAGGATTTGTCAGGAAGTGACATCAGGGTAACAATGTACAAACAATCAAATACAGAAAGTATTGAAACCTTGGTGCCACCAGTCTGTCTGTCTGTTTTTCTGTCTATTTGCACTCTAAAATTGTTACCTTAAATACAATGTTGCTGTTTCATAGTCTAACAGGGATGCTGAGTGGGTGATGTGTTACTGACAGTGCCATCTCCCCTCTGTCTGATATGAATGTTAGGGAGAAAGACTAGCATCTTTAACTTGGGGGTATTAACCAGGACATGCACGTAGCTCAGGAGCAGAACTGAGAAAGTTACAAGCTTGGACTACAACTCCCAGAAGCCCCATGATGGTTTAGGAATGCTGGGAGTTACAATCCAAAAAGTAACTTTTTAAAGCTGTGATTCTAGTTTTCATTATAGAAAGAGGGGAATGGAGGTGGAGAATGACCACATCTACTGTATTTTGAAAGACAAGGAGTCTGTGGGGAACTGTGTTAACTCTGTCAAGCTACCACGCAGACCATCATTTCATCTGTCTTGAAATTCTCTGCAGAGCCAACACCAACTGCCCAAATCCTGGTGTCCTCCTTTTGCTGGCTTGGGGTTATGGGAACTGTAGTTGAACACATCTGAAGTTCAGGAAGGGTAGTATGTTGACTGTTAAAAGCTTTCCAGCGCATGGAACAGAAGTGTTTGTCCAGCCCTATCATAGCACGTCAAGAACTGAAAACTTATCATATGATTACACTGTACCTTAAGTGGCAAAACGCAAGGCAATTTCGTAAAGAAAGTCTGGAACTGGTTGCTGATGGTGGTCCAGAGGTTGCTTGGGGAATCCATCGGCAAAGCTTCCATAAAGGTAGCAATGTTCTCCAAACAGCGTAACATTGCGCCCCCTGCTGGCAAATTCTTTTTGTTGTTTAAGCCCTAAACAAAAAACATACAAATCCATTCATCCTTCTGTCGCTCTGTCCCTAATAAAACTGCCCCCTTGGTATATCTTTTCTTATTCTGGGAATGCTGAGGTGGGGGAACCCAAAATGAAAAATAAACTTGATGTAACATGGGTGGGGAAGGACTTTTTTGTTTTTGAATCAGAACGGCCACCAAAAATCCCACAAAGTGAATACAAAAAGTGAGAATTTTTTTAAAAAACTAACATTACTTAGGATTGTATAAAAGAGGTGAATTCCCACTTCTTTCCACAAATAAAACTCTGGTATGTACTGGGTTGCATCCCATTTCACCAATCAGTTTTTGACTTAATACTGAGCAGTCTTCCTTGTTCCCTGTATCACAGCTCACCCATTCAGTGTGGTCCTCAACTAACCAGCAGAGTAACATTTTCAGGTTTGGAGCTATCTTGAGAGGAGTAGACAAGGAATTCCCTTCTGCCAGTCAACATTTGGACTCAAACTGCTATCTTTCAATTCCTCATCAAGTCACTTTCAACTTGAGGACCCAATGAATGAGTGACCTCCAAAATCTCCTGTCATCAACAGACCTGCTCAGCTCTTCTAAACTCAAAGACATGGCTTCCTTTATTGAGTCATCCGTCTTATTCGGTCTTCCCCTCTCCCTGTCACCCTCAGCTTTTTCTAGCATTATTGTCTTTGTAAATCATATAATCTAGTCTAGCATCGTATTTCTGACAGAAGCCCATACTAGTAGAAGACAACAGTTGTCCTCTTATTTTGCCACCAGAAACAAGTATCCACTGTTGTCCTACCTCTGAATAAGGGAAATTATTAAAGATGGAAAACATTTGTTTTGTAGACTACAACACCCAGAATTCCAGGAGCTGTAGCCCATACAGGAGACATCTGTTTTTATGATAATCATAGCATATTTTATATGTGTTATGTACTATCAAGTTGCATCTAACTTACAACAATCTTAATAGGCTTTTCAAGTGAGATATCACTCATTTTTTATATTTCATATTTATATTTTTTAATATTTTACCTGGGATTTGAACCTAGTTTTTCTGAGTCCTGCTCTATTATTCTGTCCACTGCACTACACCGCAGTGTTCTCTTTGGTAACAATCCTATGACATATGCAGTGGGCTGTGACAGTAAAAAGGACAGCAAAGAAACCTTCTAGTCTACTTTCCACTTCTCACAATTTTTAAAAATATTATCCTAAGCTACACAGTGCTATTTCAAATGTTAGGGAATATCCACACTAGGTTGATGTATTGCTGTAGCACTGTGTCACTTACTAAATTAAACTGAAAAGAAGGAAGTCACCATGGTCCATGGAATCACATCCATGGGGCATCAGCAGGGCATAAGTAACTGAAAAGGAGAGAAACTGGAGCAATCTGAAGGACTTTCTAGATCCTTCTCATGGGAAAATAAATGTCTCCTGTGTGAATGGAAGGATTACTCAAATGTGAGATAAAATAGATCACACCATAGATAAGAGCCTTTTAAATTTGACCTCAGTTGCTCCAAATTCCCCCATCTAGTCACACCTGCAGTTGTTTCATTCTGAGAGAGGTAGAATATAAATAGGGATTTACTGGCAGATCTCTGAGTAATTTGCAAGCAGATCAACAAGAGTTTCTGATTGCCAATAATCTAACAGCAGTAACAAGGCAGTGTTCCTACCCTCCACAATACCACTCCTCAAATGAAAAGTTAATAAGGAATTGTGAACACTATTCAGTCTTTAGTGCTTAGTGTAGAAGAAAAATCTGAGGCATTGCTTGTAATTTCTTTATGTATATTCTATAGAAAGAGTCATGTTATGAAATATATTGTGGTATGCGGTTTTTTTAATTGGAGCCAAAGTCACATTTGGAAAATCCAAAAGCTAGTGGATGAATAAATCTGCAACAAGTTACAGTGTCACTCTAGATGCTGTTGGATTGCAAATCCCATGATATCACAATATTCCTTGCTTGCTAAGACTAATAGGAGCTACACACCAACACTGGCTGGTGGTTCACAATTACCTATTTCCACTACACATTATTCTCTGCAAGAAAGGCTCCTTGAATTCAGTAGGATTTTCTTGTTGTGAGCTGCCTTTGGTCCTCCTATGGGAGAAAGGTGGCATAAACAAATAGAATCATAGAATAATTGAATTGGAAGGACCCTATAAGGCCATTGAATCCGACCTTCTGCTCAATGCAGGAATGCAAATCAAAGCAGATCAGATATATGGTTATCCAATTTTCTCTTGAATGTCTCCAGTTTTGGAGTGCTCACCACCTCCCAAGGTAATTGGTCCATTGTTGTACTGCTTAATTAATAGATTAATTAATATTTATACTAACCTCTAGGAGCTGGCTCAAGGCAGCTATGGAGCTCAGTTCATTAAAATCCATAAGGGATGTGGCCAAGGTCCGTAAAAAACTTCCATCTGCAAAGGACACCATTTTGTTTCAGTAAGATTTCAGTCATGAAGGTAGTGGAGAGTAGCAGGAGCAAACTGCAGTCATAGTCTATTACCTTTGATGTTGCTCTGAAACAGCTGGGGAAATATACCATTGGGAGCCAGTTGGTGGAAAACACAACGGAGAAACTGCTTGGCCACTCCAGCAGCATTCCCTGGGATCATCATACTGGAGGAGTGGAGAAAAGGTAGACACTGTGACTTTAGTAGGAAATCCTACCGTGAAAGAATAAAACATGATCTAGTTTTACTATTTTTTTCTATTTTATTGATTATATTATTCTAAAATACTTGCTTTTAGTGTGTTTACTCTACAGTACTGTATTCTAATACAATTTTTTTCATACATGTACTTGTGGTTTTACAATTGAGTTGGCTATATAAATTTATGATTTTTAATTACATGTGGCTTTATATGTTTTTATTCTTTTAAGAAGTTTATAAGCTGCCTTGAGGGCTATCTTTTGGTGGAAAGGCAGGGTGTAAATGTTTATTGTTGCTATTATTAATGTGTGGAATCTGCATGGCTAGAGGAAGGCTTTGAGCTTCAGTGACTGCCTATCTAACAATGGGGTGAGTGATTAAATGTGGGAAGAGTCCATACTGAATCCTCTGATCATGTTGTGCCATATTGCCTGTTGCCAATGAGATTTGGAGGTGGCTGCTGGAGTTTCTGTTGCTAAAGCTATGTGAAAAGGTACGTTGGAGAGTTTTGGCATAGCCATCATTATCTCAACTAAATGAAAGTACTGCCACTTGCAAATCTGTGTTCCATTACAGCACTGCAACACTGCCCTTGAGGATGACAACTGGTAAAATCTGCAGTGCCTAGACTGCTGACAGAATGTCTTATAGAAATCAGAAACCCTACAACACTGATTCTAAAAAGAACTGCACTAGCTGCCAATAGGCTTCCAGTGCAAATTCAAGGTGCTGATGAAGATAGTTAAAACTAGAAAGAGTTTGGGATCCAATATCTCCTCCTATAAATATCTGCTCAAGCATCAGGATCTGCCATAGTGGGGGAGCTCCTTTGTGTCCCACCAATGGGAGAAAAACACTATGTATGGACAAAGAAGGAAGTCTTCTTTGCTGTGGCGGCCTGCGGCATCTTTCCCTCCCCTGGAAAGGGTCTGATTGGCACCAGTGTTTTGCCACCTAGTGAAAATGCGGCTCTTCATCAGAATCTTTGTGGTTCAAAGATCTGGCTTAAGCAGATGGTAGAGTTCAGTTAAGTATATAGTTTTAAATGATCTCAATCTTTTCAATTGCTTTATGTATTTTAAAGTTATATATATAGGGTTTAGTCAGCAACATTTTTGCATAAGGCAGGATAAAAAATATTGTAAATAAATGCATGAATAAAAACTAGGAGACATTCATGAAGTCATTGCTCTTTTGCTGATTCACTTCTAGTCTTCTCTAATATGTTGCTCACCAGATTTTTTTTTACTACATTCCCTATCTAGCTTGTCTACTAGCTAAACTGGCTGTCCCTAGAACTGCAGGGAAAACATCTAGAGCAGTGGTTCCCAAGCTTGGGTCCACAGATGCTGTTGCCCTAAAACTCCCAGAAGCTCCCACATGTGCTGGCCAGGATTTCTGGGAGTTGTAGTAGAAGAACAACTGGGAATGCAAGGTTTGGAACCACTAATCTAGAAAATATCTAGCTATTAATCCCAGTGCCCACTTGTATCCATAAGGAGTCACATAAGGAGCTTTCCTTAAGGTGAGAACTGGCTTTATATTATGACACATACAGTGGTGCCTTGCTAGACGATGATAATCTATTCCACTGAAATCACTGTTTAGCTAAATCATTGTCTAGCGAAAAGCATTTCCCCATTGGAATGCATTGAAACCTGTTTAATGCATTCCAATGGGGAAGAATCGTCGTTGTCTAGCGAAGATCGGCCATAGGAAAGCCGCTTCGGGAACCACCGATCAGCTGTTTAAATAGCTGTCTTGTGAAGCTTAGGTCCCAAAAACACCCGTTTTGCAAGCGCGGAGGGAACTGTCCAAATCGTTGTCTAGCGAAAATTGGTTTGCGAAGCAGGGACCAAACATTGTCCAGCGAAATTCCCCCATAAGGATCACTGTTTTGCGAATCGCTATAGCGATCACAAAAAGTCAATGTCTAGCGAAAAAACTGTCATGCATGGTAACTGTCTAGCAAGGCACCACTGTATCTGGATCTAAAATATTCTAAAGCCCAATGATATTTTAAAAAATATTCTCTCTCCCCCTCTCCCTGAAAGCAAAATTCCATCTAATAAACAAGAAAAAAATTAAATTCTTGTTTGGTTTGCAGAATGGGAGGGGGTTGGAGGAATGACTTGTTTTGATTGTACTGTACCTTTCGGCTTGATTGGAAAAATTGGTACTTGAAGCCAACCTGGTGGAGATGGGTGGGGGGGGAGGAAAAAAGGAAATGAAAGGTTTTTATTATTGAGAAAATGAAACAGCTAAAATGACTTGTGCAATCAAAGCAAATCCCAGAAAAACTGGTTTTAGAACCACAAGGGCTACATCATCTGGACAAGAAAGGGTTATCGTTTTGCTAAAATATTATTTTGTAAAGGTGTTAGGCCATTCAGTGAAAAATTTTACTTGTTTTCCTGCATCATATCAATGGGGAAGGGCCATAATTCAGCCACAGAACAGGGAAAGCTGGGAAAGACCCTTGTCTTAAGACCTTGGGATCCAACTGCCAATCAGGGAGTTGACAGTATAGAGCAAGATTTGCAGATGGTAAAGTATTTATGCTCCCCCTTTAATGTGAAAGGCTCACACTTTCCACCTAAAGCTTAGATAAAACTACATACCACTTAAGCCTACACTTTGTATGTCAGTGAGGCAAAGGAGGAAACTTATCTTGCTGCACTGCAACTTATCCCAGAGCATGACCCCACTATTGCTGAATTACAGATGGCTTCAGGTCCTTTTGATCCTTCTTCTTAACAGTACCCCTCCACATGCTACAGCTCCCCTACAGCAATATCTAACATTTGATATCTACCACAGGAACACAGGAAACTACCTTATGCTGAGTCAGACCCAATGGTTCATGTAACTATACTGTCTTATTTATTATTATGTACCATCAAGTCACTTCTGTATTATGACAAATATACAAAGTAATGACTTCCAAAACTTTCTACCATTAAGAGCCCAGATCAAGTCCTCCAACCTAAAGGCTGTGGCTTCCTCTAATGAATCCATCTATATCGTCTTGAACTTTCCTCTTTACTTACTGCCCTCCACTTTTCCTAGCATTATTATTATTTTCCAATTAGTCATTTCTCAGCATATTTCCAAAATGCAATAGCCCTGCCTTAATCATTTTAACATTTAGTGAGAGGTGAGGTTTGATTTACATTAGAACCCACATTTGTCTTCATGGAAGTCCTTGATAACATGTGCATTGCCACATTTTGAATGAACCAATTATAGATCGGCATGAACCTCAGTTCAGAGGTTCATGCCGGTTTATTGGACTGACACCACAGGTGCTGTGCGTTCCCTTCCCCCTGCCCTGGCCAGATCCTCCACCTACCAGCTGGCACACATTGCTCTCCTCCTCCTCTTCAGGTGCCCGACCAGTCCCAACAGGAGCACCTACTTGCCTTCTCTGCCTCCTTCAGCAGCCACCCACTCCAAGGAAGTGATTTAGGAATTCCTGACCCACCTCCTTGTCTGGGTGGGTGGCTGCTGGAGAAGGCAGAGGAGGGAAGCACGTGCTCCTGTTGGGACTGGCCAGACCCCCAAAGATGAGGAGAAGAGCAACATGTGCTGGCTGAATGGAGGATCTGGATAGGGTGGAGTGAGGGAAAACAATGCACGGCACCTGTGGTGTCAGTCCAAGGAACCGGCACAAACCTCCAAACTGAGGTTCGTGCCCATCTCTAGAACCAGTGCAGCAGCCCTAGTCCATTACTTAGGAAGATATTGTAAGCCACATATATTGTGGTGAACATACTAATCCCATATGCCTCTGACATCATGCTGAACACAGAAACGTGATAGTCTGGAAAGCAAGCAGCTTCTCTGCACGAGCTACAACCCCAACAGATTTCCGACTCATGTGGAGAGGCTATATGGCTACAGCAGCTCCCTGTTTTTAGAATGTGGCATTTCGATGTTCTACATCAGTGGTTTGCAACCTTGGGTAACCCAGATGTCTTTAGACTGTAACTCCCAGAAACCCAAGTCAGCTCAGCTGGTGGTGATGGCTTCTGAGAACTGCAGTCCAATAATATCTGAGTTACCTAATTAGGTTCTACACAATGACAGGAGGTGAGGCTATCATGTTCCCCTCAATGCATGTGTGCTCCAAATACTGCTTTAATGATTGTATAGGACTTGAATCAGATGATTCCTCTTTCTAGGCCAGTAATGTCAATTCTCCAAGGTCTCAGGCAAGATTCTTTCCTACCGCTATCTGGAGATCTCTGAATTCTCTGGTAGTATCCGGACACTAATCAGACCAGGACTTGGTTATTTCCCAAATCAGATGAAATCAGCTGGGCCCTGGGTGGTATGGTGGTGGTCTGAAGGCACTTATTTGGTGCCACACATTCAGGTTTTCCAGGTTAAGCAGCTGCCAGCTTAGGTAGCAAATGCAGCCCTCTTTAGCCCCATTGTGGGAACTTGTTAAGTGCCTTCAAACAAATGCATGCTTAAGTTCCTCTGCAAATCTCTGTTCTAATACCACTAGGGGCAGGGGTCACATAGTCTCCATATCCCCACCACCACCATTTAGCCCTCCTCACACTTTCGGGTGGAATGTCTAAATAGGGCTTATAATGAATACCTCCCCTTCATATTGTGAACGATTTCTCCACAAAGGGAAGGAGCTGACCCAAAGCATTTTGTTGAAGGAAAAAGGTAGAAGGGTGCTCCCCTTCCTGCTCCATGCTGAGAGGTAAGCAAGCAACTAATTTCAACAATGGCAATGGGACAGCTTCCCTCAGAGCATCAGAAGGCATCTGCCCTGCAAAAGGAGTGCAACATCTCACCCTATGGCACACAGAGAGTTCTGTCAGCCACCAGCTTCCATCTATTCCCTGTGTCTCTCAGCTGCCTGAGACAGCTACCTCACTCTGCCTTGAGGAAGGAAGGAAGAAAAGGGGGAAAGGAAAAGGAAAGGAAACAGAAGAAGGAAAAGGACAGATTATTACCTTCCTACAGACTGCATGATATCTAGCAACAAAGGAGCAGCCAGATCTGGGCTGAGGTGAATAAATGTGGAGAGAACCACTATGGCCAGACCTAATGTTTCTTCATCGTACTCTTCCAGGATGGCTCCACAGTCATGACACCTGTAAGAAAATTAGAAGAAAGAGCTATTAGAATGAAAGATCACATTAGATGCCTACCGTCATTACAATCATCACAAGCGACAGCCTGTGGGCTTGCCAGATACAAAGCAAGCTAATTTGCCATCATTAAGAAGTTAGCTTTCAGCTCCAACAGAAGCCACTTGCGTTGGCCCCAGCAAATGGCAGGCTGCTGCCGGGATGCCAAGAGACTACTTTGAAAGCTTTGCCAAGGTTCTGCAATGTCAGATCTTATGGGACATGCCAGACGTAGGAGAGATGAAGCAGAATCTCTCCAATCCATATAAAGAGACCAACAACACTGGGAAAGCAGTGCTTCTTGGCCCAATGGGAATGCCAGGTTAATTTGATCAACCACTCGCTAATGTCTCCAGCAGATTGCGATATCTGAACTTAATGGGCTTGTACAGGCAATTTTCCTCCCCCCACTTTTCCAGAACAGCAGGAGAAATTGCCAGCAAGGTCAGGAAAGTCAATCTTATTTAGTCCACTTTACTACCTGCTGTCAAAGCTTTTAGAAAATAACCAGACCAACTGAATAATGATATAAATGAACCTCACTGGATAGCTGTCATATACCCCACACACCACCTCCACCTCACTTCAGCTCTACTAAAGGATTATAGAAGGGCCCATCCCATCCTTTGTCCCCAATCCGTTATTTCTTTTGGAAATGGGGTCTAAATATAAGATGAGATACAGGCCAATTTCAGTCCCATCTCCATCTGAACCAACATTACATGAACAGACCTGCCTGCACAACTATGATTTCTCCTCTTCTCCTTTCCTCTTCAGGATCCTGAGACCTACACAATGTGTTCAGAAGGGTCCACCAACCCTCCATTTTGAGGGTGTATCGGAAGACTGAGAATATTTCCTCTCCCCATTCCATTAACAAAAGCCATCATATCAGCAGGGCCATCCAATATATGTAGGGGAATGGATAGCCCACCCCAATTTATGTCATCTTGGTATGATTGATTTCAGCTTCACCCTCAGCAAGCAACACCAGGCTAGGGGTACAGAAGGTGAAAAGTGTAGTTCAAAATAATCTGAAGGTCAAATGTTTCGGAAAAGTTACTATAGTAATTCCAAGAACTATGATCCCCAAAGGGTATGGAAGGGCATCTTAATGAAGGCTATGTGTTCATTTGCTGTACCAGAGGAACCAGAGCAGAATTACTGTATATTTGCCACATTATGTCAGAAGAAACAATCTGCAACCTAACATACTGAAATCTGGCTCAATTTGCGAATCACAGCACTAAATGTTTGGCATATGCCATAAGATTTCACTTGGATAGTCACATTTATCTGAATTTGATGATACAGTTCAGCAATCAAAAATGTGCATAAAATTTGTATATTAGGAGAGAATGTGCACAAAAATACATATAGTAGTGATATTCCTTAATTTAACATTTTGAGGAAGTCTACTGAAAACATGATTCTGGTTCTACTTCAGTTAACATAGTGCTGACCTATTCACAGTGTTGTCCTTTGGTCTAGCATACAATGATGATTTTAAATGGCAAACCATTCCAAGGAATATAAAGGTGCTTACTTGTCAGTCATCATGGTAGGCTGGTCATCAATGAAATCTTCTGGTGCTGGTACAAACATGCTGACAATGCTGGGTGCTGATAGCAAGCTGGATTTTGTGGCACCTGGAGAGAAAGGTAGGTAGGTAGGTAGGTAGGTAGGTAGGTAGGTAGGTAGGTAGGTAGGTAGGTAGGTAGGTAGGTAGGT